CATTCCTATTCCTACAGGGTCAAACACATAACGATCCAAGGTTTTGGCCACGAAGGCTTAAGGTCTCCCTTTCTCATATCAATATTCAGTGTTACATACCATAAGCCATAATCTCATAGTCTTATAATCAAATTCCCTGTTTTCCCACAACCAACCCAAAATATCTTAAATCATAAACCACATAAGCCAACCATAAACATATCTAAAGGAATACATAGAAAATCATGAACAACGATACTCCCCATACCTTGGTCGATCCGCAACTTTCACGATTAACTTCGGGATCTTCCGAAGCTTTTGCCTCCACTTCTCCCTCCATCAGAGCTCTGGCCTCATTCTTTTCACGGTTAACAAAATGAATCCTCCACCTTCAGAATTCTATTTTGTCAAACTTAGACTTGGGCCACACAATTAGGCTTTTCCCATAATATCCTTACTAACTCCTCTTAATGCCCAATTTACCCTCATTTCTCTTATATTTATTTTAATTCATAATAATATTAATAAATCCATATTACATACTATTATTCCCAAAATAAATACTCCAATATGCATAATTCCTCAATAATTCCCAAAACCACCGAAAACACCAAAAATACGAATATTCTCAATTAAATAAATAAATTAAAATATTCCAATTAAATTCGGGGTGTTACAATGAACATTTCTACTTGTTGATGCTTACTCACATGTTGATATACCATGCTTGATCACAATTATGTTCATTTCATCCTTGATGACTATATTTGTTTAAAAGCTTAATCAATTTTGTCTTGTTAAGTTTCTCTTGACATTTATGTTTATTAAACTTGCATTCATACAACTGTTTCATTTTAATACTCTTAAGTTTAGACTCAATTCAATTTTTAGGATCTTCTTTAAAATATAACTCAATTAAAACCATAGGATTCCCTTTGAGGTTCTTAACTTTAATAAAACATTAGGATTTCCCTTGAAGTTTCCAACTTAATTCAAAGCTCAAACCATAGCCTTCTTTGTGGCTTCAAACCTCAAACTTCAAGTCAAACCCTAGCCAACCTTTGGCTTCAAACTCAAACTTTTCCCCAGAGATGTGACATTAATCATCTATATAGAAAAAATGTCTCTTCTATTCCGCACAACATAAATCAAACATTTTAAACTTTTCCCATTTAAGTGATGTAAGTGGTACACTTGTTGATTCAAAATCCAAGTTGGGGTCCTTCTCTTATTATGGTACAAAAACACTTCTTTCATTTAAGTGATATAAGTGGCACACTTATTGATTCTATATCCAAGTCAAGGTCCTTCTCTTATTATGCAAAGACTCATTTAAAGGAAGATGTGACATTACTCTGGATTTTCTACATCCAAGTTTAAAGCTTCTTCCCTTATTATCTTTTTTCTCAAAATGGTTGTGACTAATAGGTGAAATATCTCCCTTAACATGACAACTTATCTCTTCTCTCTCAAAATGGTTGCGAGATCTTAGCGATTACAATAATTAATAAAACCTTTAGGTTCCTACACCTTTGTCTTAGTTTATTTCAACATACCCTACAAAAACAACACAAATATTTCTCACTCTTATCACTCACTCAAAACAGTCAACAAATCTATAATACACAGCAGATGACTTAATCAACAGTAACACAAATATACACAAGAGGTTCCTATTGGATACTATAGATACTTAGGGTGTTAGTACCTTCCCTTAGTAAAATCAACATCTGATTTCCGATCTCTTATTGCATTGTTTTACATTGCACACTCACGGGCTTATTTAGATTTTTTCCCATTCCCTCTTTTGGGATAAATTAAAATTCACATGTTAGGGCAAACTCGAAAATCGTGCGACACAGCTCAATATTTGATTCTCTCTAGAAACCGGGTCCCAATCTCTGCGAACCCCTGAGCCCCCTCTCTGAGCTTCAAGCCCCCTCTTCTAAGCTTAGGACAAGCCACTAGTCCCCTTTCTGAACTAGCAGACATGCCTCTTGACACAACTCACATGATGCATGATCATATCATCAAATTAATGCGTTAAGAATCATTTTTTGTCCTAACATAAATTCATTGACAACTCAAGTATTCTCTTCTATGGATTATATCACACCAAAATCATAAAATGCACATTACCAATCAACAGTGCAACATAAGCATGTTAATAATTCATCTCAAGATAATAGTATTTCAAACATGCAACAATACAACAACATAACCTAAAATAATCCATATTCACAATATTCTCATATTTCATACTTATTCTCAACACTTAACATCTTATCATAGCGCATATTCAAACATTTCAACAACTCATGAAACATATTCCTCAATCTCGCACACTTGACATTTACCCTATGAAATAAATTATAATAATCATTCTTGTCAATTAATCATGTTATCACAACATGTTCAGCCTCTGAAGTTATTACCAATTTATAGTAATTTATGTTATACGAAACTCAAGTTACGACGAAAACAATTGAAAACATAAAATCAGCATTTTTGAAAAAAAAAACAGCAGCCGTAACCGATTAACCAAAACTCATAACCGGTTACAGTCATGAAAATTAAAAAAAAAAACTATCATTTCAATTTTAGCCTGTCACGCTAACGCGTTAACCAGTTACCATTGTACAGAAATGAAAAAACATGATTTTCACCATTAGAGGACCTCTGAAACCCCGATTTTGATTACGTAAAAATCTATGATCTCAGAATTAGACATACCACGGTTATTCCATGATTAAAACCCAATTTAACACATAAAATCCATTATTTTCATGAAAAATCTTTGATTGCAAAACCTTCGACAATGCAACAATGGTGGAAAAACATCAAGTATCAAAACAGAAAAATCAGTCATGAATAGTGCATGAATTCATCAATTATTACAGATAATTGCCATCATACAATCATAATTCATCCAGAACATACACCCTATTGGAGGTTAAAGACTCATATATTCTACTCCTCATGCATAAGCCCTGTTGAAAGTTATCTAGCATCAAATTTTTTATTTCCGATAGAACTTCTTCTCCACTCCAAGTCTCTTTCTCTTCTTAGCCTTTTGGTCTTTTTCTCTTTTCTCTAGTTTCTATGACAAAATAGGTTATTCCTAGATTTCTCTCATTATAATATATAGTTAAGACAAAATAACTCTTAATTAATTTTTTCTCCCCTACTATCAAAATAATTGCTCCGTCCTCCCATTAATTTTTTCTCAATTCTCACTTTCACCCTAAAAGCTACATTAATTAATTAAATCTAGTAAATTATTATTACTAAAATAATTTAATTAATCAACTATCTTTATACACTTAACTCAAGGATACACACCCTCACTTCCATATTTAATTAATCACTCACAATTAAATAAATACGTAAAATATAATAATTCAAATAATTCTATAATTCAAGAATTGAAATATTACACCATCACTTATCAGCTAACCATTTATCCTTGGCTCTTTGAAACCAGGTTCTTCCTAACATATATATTTTTTCTTTTTGAGTAAGCTTTAAACAATATGCATATTGTAACTCTTGGCTTTCACTACAACTTCCAGTAGGTTATTTAGCATGCCTATGTTATTCTTCCAGGTAGACAAAATCATATCTTTGAAAGAATTTTCCAAGATCCAGACACATTCGATCTTAAAATATTTGATCATAGCTCTTCTAGGATTATCTTTAATCCTTAATAGCTACTTTTTACACTAATGATGAATTTTTAGTGATGTTTAAGCCAGTAACAAGATCACTCACTTCCTCCTCTGACGATAATTATTCAATTCCTGCAATCCCTTGTCCTTTGAAGCTCCTTTAAAGTTCACTTTTTGAATTCCACGAAATACAACTGTTGACAATTAGTGCTTGGTTACGCATATATGTAAAGTTTTTTCATCACTTTTATTATTTTTAATAGTGATTAATTTATATGTATTGTATTTATCATTTTTAATATGTTTTTTAAATATACCAAATAATAATTTATTTTAATATTTTAATTATTTTGTTTGTTTATAATAATATACTTAAGTCTCTGAAATATATAAAAATAAACACTTCTATTAATAAGTGGAAGGTTTAAAACAAATTATTTCATGTTGATTTATGAGTAGTGATATTTTAAAGTTAAATTTAATTTTTACTTAATTAAAATTATAAATAACTAGGGGCATTTATGCAAGTGGTGAAAAGCTAAATCAATAATACTTGTGGTAAGTGAATTTGACACAAATATTAATCACACGATGGTTTAAAACTATTATATTTGAGAAAATGCGTAAGGACTAAGGGGAGATATTTCAGAGTTTCTTCCCGGTAAAATTTTCTTTTTTTAAGGAACCTCGCTTCAATGTCTGACGGGCCTCCAAAGCTCAAGATAACAGGATTCGGTTCTTCTGACGTAAAACTTGATACTAGCATGAGTTTGCTTGTGGAGGAAGCAATATCATTGGGAATAGTTCTTGAGTTCCGCATAATATTCGAACCTGCAACTCCTTCTTCTCTTAAACTAAGAACCTCAACTTGGTAGAAGGTGAGTCTTTAGTTTTCAATAGCATCTTAAAATTGCACAAATATGTGAAATAAAGTAGAGGTTATCTAAAGGCAATTCTCCAATCAATGAAGAAGCTAAATCCAATTGCAGTGACAGTTGTTGAGCAAGTGGTAGACGAGCTCCTATTAAGTGAATAATGTCAGGATTTAATAAGAAAATTAGAGAAGCCATAAAAAACACATAGAAAGAGAATAGCAGAAGTAATATTGATAAACATGAATTGCCGTATAAATAGAGATTCTAAGTGAATCATAAAAATAAGATAGAGCAATCAGAAATGAAAATGACAACTTTGCACGTGTTTTGAAGCATTGGTATACAATAGTATTAGATTATTATGTATAGTTGTAATCTATTAGAAGAAAAAAAATCAAAACCTAAAGGTTAGCAAGAGCCCTGGTATAAATAAATTAAATTTGACATCTTGAATAGCGATAATAATGCTATCTTCGACTCATTTAGATGGTTTGTTTCCCTGTGGCTTTGTTTGACTAGCGGCTTCCGACATTATGCGCAAGCGACTTGCAATTTCTGTGAAGGAAGGCCTAACTACAGGATCTTTCGCCCAACATTGTTCCATCAGTGTTCTCCATTCGAGATCACAGTTGCTTGGGATGGTTGGCCTCAATTTGTCAGTTACAATTCCACCTGCAAGCAGAGGAGACAAATATTAATGACATCTAATACTAACTTCATAGACTAGCCGAATGATTGATTTCTCTTATTGACTTGATGGTATATGAGAAATCATACTCTTCACCAGCAGCGGGCCCAAATGTGAGATAGCGGCGCCCAAATGTGAGATAGCAGGGTGACCACTATTTGATAATTAAACAAATAACTCAAAACCCGTAATCCCTCTGAGCCGGGAACCGCTCCGTTATGCTATCCCGCTATTTACCCTATAGTGGCCCCTATAGTGTTCTGCCCATAGAGATTAGCCTCTGCCTTGTTCTGTGCTAAAGCACCCCGCTATTGACTACTTTGCTCTTCACACATATCACGTACTCTAAATTGTGCTCTTTATTCTCCTCTTTTCCAATCCAATGCTCTATTTTTGTTTCTTTATTTTCCCTCCATCCATTTTCTTCGAGTAAAAAGAAGGAAAAAGAAAAATGAAGAAAGAATACCTATATTCCACCATCTAATGTGTTGTTGCTCCAATATAAAGAGGAAACCATTTAAAGATGATGCAAAAGACTACAAAATCAAATTGTTCTTCAACATAAAATAAAAAAGCAACAAGCATGAGAACACAATATTACCTATAATTGCACCATAGAGCATATTGGCATATGGCTCCTCACCAGTTAAAATTTCCCATAAAACTATGCCAAAGGAGAACACGTCAACCTACAAGATCAAAATGCAAATCCAGCAATCAATAGCAGCAACCAGGCAAGAAGGCAAAACAGACATGGAAAACAAAATAAGACTTCCCTTGCCAGTTTTTTTTAGAGGTAAAGTCCAAATATTACATATGAACATAGATTTACATCAGTAATAAAATGAAATTGGAAAATTTGAATGTGCAAAATTAAAAATGGTCAAATGAACCTAATTATATTTCAAAATTTTAGTAACTGCAGATAATTGTGTTTCGAGAATTTGAGTAAAATGAACATAATTATACTTCCAAAAATTGAGCAAATTAACATTATTATGTTTCCAAAAGTTAAGAGTGTTAGAGCTTTGTGGCTATATGAAATGAAAGAAATTCCAAAATCAAGAAGAGAGTCGATACAATTATGAGGAAGTGAAAAATGTCATAAAAAGTGAATTTGAGATCATTTCAAATGAGTAGTGTTATTTGAACATCTAAAGTTTGACACCGTATTCATACACCATATAAAAATACATCATTTATAACTATTGATTTGACATTTAGAAAGAGAAAAAAACTAATTAAAAATGAAATTGTATCTACACCATATACAAATACGGTGTTGGACACCTCAAAAATGGTGTTGAAATATCATTTCTCATTTCAATTTTCCGTAGTAGATATAGATTGGAGAAAACCATTTCATTATAGATAACTTAAAAGATTACCTTTTCTGAGACCTTGCTGCTGCATCCATCCAGCAGCTCTGGTGCCATCCAAGGTAGAGTGCCCCGCACACCACCAGTAATTAAGGTATTTCGTTTGATTTTTGACAAGCCAAAATCACCAACCTGGGAAAGAAATTTTATGTTTCTTTTTAACACCAAAAAATGTGACACATCAAGTTCATAGAAGATTACACCAGTACCGATACCTTGCATATTGGCCGTAAAGGATCTTTCAAATTTACAAGCAAATTATCGCATTTTAAGTCGAAATGCACAATGTTTTTTGAGTGTAAATATTCCATTCCAAAAGCTGCATCCATTGCAATTATCAGCTTTTTGCGGCGATCAAGACACCTAAAATATCATGTTCAGATTCATAAGAATACTCATCAGTAAACAAGACATCATATTCATCACTTGAACATTTTTGCAGAGACAATAAACTTTACACAGTGATGCCTTCCATCTAATAAAAAAGCTTATTATAAAAATGAAAAATTCTTTTTAAATGCATTACCTATCCTTTTGAAGTAATACATGCCTAAGGGAACCATCCACCATGAATTCGGTAACAGTAGCCATTGTTCCTCCTGGTCCATCCTGTACCACACCATAAAATGCAACCACATTTGGATGATGAAGCTTTGAAAGAATGTCAGCTTCTCGCCAGAACTCTGCAGTCTGAGAAAAGATGCAAATATAAATTTTCTTGCCTCAAAATATATAGCTTATCATTACATAACTTTTTAATATGATAATAATAAGAAACATTCTCTATTTAATTTTAAAGGAAAAGAAAATAGCACAGGCAATCAAACAGACATTGAATGACAAATTACCAGTCTCTCTTGCTCAGATGATCGACCAGTGAAGCAACTCTTCTTTATTCTTTTGATAGCAACATCTGTTCCTCTCCATTTTCCATGATAAACAGTCCCAAATGTACCAGATCCCAGTTCCTTTAACTCTTCAAGATCTTCATTCTTAATGACCTACCAATTGCATCAAAACAATAAAACAAACATGCGAAAGATATTCAGGTAAACATTCAAACATAGTATTATGAGGAATCTGTGAAGTTCATAAAAAAATATAAAACAGATCAATCATACTACTAGCATAAACATCACAACGTCAAATGAGAGGATAGTAGTCTACAACATCATTCATGACCAAGGGCGTGATTTTTTTTTTGAAGAAAAAAAATGTGCTTGAGCTTACTAGCTTACTACAGCAGCTTCAGAGGAAAATCTCAGTAATTCTTAATAGCATTTGATTTATGAGCAGTTAAACACCTCTCATGCCATTTAATTCATTAATTGTAGCAATTAGGCTTCCTGAATCATCGCTCAATAATTTCAATTTGCATCTATAAAATTCTCCAATTTTCGCAATCTAAAAAAATCATTACATAATTATTTGGACCAAAACAATGTCTCAATCATGCCAAAGAGATCTAAAAGACTTATAAAAATACACTTCATTGCAAAAATTGGTGAAAAGTTAATTAATTTTTCGTATTGGGGGCTGCATTCATCTCTAAGTGCAGTGAAACTCCTTAAAAATACCATGTTTGGCCTCACACCATTGCACATTTTGCCACGGCACTCTTATAATTTAAACCCGTGTTCAAAGGCATTTTGACAGACCCCATCACACATAGCAAAAGATTAAGTATTTAATTAAAACCCAACTGAGAGTTATGTTTGGTGCTTCTATACCTTGTTTTTGGATGAAAATTTCAAAACATATCAATGATAAGATGAAACCAACTACTACTAATTCATTTAGAGAATAGAAAGCAAGGGTCATAGGGTGTGTTGCAGAGACAGTGTGAACATGTGAAGTTGGAAAAGACACGGAGATAAAAGGCAATGCAATTCTTGACAAATTGAAAGTTACTTTGCATCTTTTCAATAGTATAAATAGGTCCAGTTCTTTAAAAGGAATAACTAAATTTTCGTAATTTATCTTTAAAGAGTTTTCAATGCAAACATAGTTTTTTGCAGGTAATAATATAAAGCAACAACAAATATTCTAGTAATAGTGCAATTGATACTTTAAAATATAAATAGAAATATCAAATATTCAATATCTTTAAAATGTTTATACACACATGTAAAATTTAAATATTTCCACCATACCCATATCCTACTTGTGCCTGTCCAACAACATGAAAAGTGAAAAAACCAGGCACTAATTTAGCAGCAGGTGATAATATTTTTTTGGAGAGGAGAGATTATTTTGCTGACGACATAAAAAATTATACCTTCAATGCTGGGTAAAAAGAAGATTTCTTAATACAATACGCCTAAACTTATTAAAGGCACACGTAGTGCATTATCAAAGTAGATCGGGAATTTCTACAGAGAAGAAAACCCAATCAAATAAGAATGTTCGAGGGAAAGAATGAGACTTTACCTGCACAGAACTGATATCAAAACCTCCTGAAGAAGGATCAAGTGGAGATAGATTACAGTTTTTGGTTTCAAACTTGTCATCCTAAGTTAAAGCATAAGAACTATTGTCAGCGGAAAATCATATCTGGACAGATACTGAAGTAAAAAATAATTAAGACCATACCTCATATTCAAACTGCATACTTTTGGCATCAGTAAATTGGGATTGATCATAGTTGGACTTCAGAGCATGGGTTTCTGTTTCAATACTTCTATGTAAGTCCTGATTTTCTTCACCAAAATTGAGGTTAGAATCTTCACAATCTAGAGGAACTCTATCAGTTGTTAGAGGTGTAACATGATATGAAAAACCAAGATGATCTTGATCAATAAGAGAAACATTGTCAAGCCCTTGTGCCAGCTTTCCAAAATATGACCAACTTTTAGGTTCATGATTTTGCATATTTACACTATAGCCTACTCCATCTGTGGATAGTGGATGCAGATTGGAGGGGTCTTCTTCAAGTATTGCTTTAGAGTACATATCAGAAAGCAATTCACGGGGGAATCGATCATCGATGTCAATTAGAATGTCACCTGGTATTTGCTTGGAAACATTAGGAGGGGGGAAATCTTGAGAAACACCTTTGGTTATGTTCCCAGCTAAAGAAGCAGGTAGTTCTTGCACCACAGGGTTATCATTAGATTCCTTCCCATAGGCCTCACCCCAATCAATCTCTGGAAGATTGGATGCAATAACATCAAGGCGCTCAACAGAAGAAACATGGTGAACAGCAGGAAGATCGGAATTACCATATTTAGTTTCAGCTTCATCAAACAAGGGCTTGATGTGATTATCTTTAGTTTCCACGTCTTTAATTCCTTCATTACTCAGCAAGACTTGCTTCAACTCGTGATCCATGTGCTCAGACAGGTTTGACTTTATCTCACTGTTTGTATCAAGCAACAATTTATTCATTTGATGGCCAGCAAACCCATTGTCAATGGTATGGTTATCTTCAGGAAAGGGCTTTGCTGAAATACTTGATTTGTCATCTGGATCTAACAGATTACCATCATGCAAGTTGTCACCAGATTCTGATACTGGATCCTCTGGCTTGGTATCAGAAAGCAAATCTGACACATCAAACTGTGAGCTGTGTGTATCATCTGACTTTGAGGACCGATTCAGGACCTCTACTTGCTCCCTCGGAGTTCTTTCTGAATAGTAAACTCTTTTAGGAACTGGAGGGGGATGAAGAGAACTCAAATCCATTGCATTGGAGTGGGAATCAACATAATTAGGAGCAAATGAACTGCTAGGTGTAGAAGAAGCATCTTTACAATCCTGGTGCTGAACTTTTTTTGGGCAAGGGAGCGAAGGTAGATGCCCCTCTGGCATGGTAACTGCAGCTGATGCTTCAGGACCGTTACTTTTCAAGTAACCATCATCAATGGGTTGAAATGGAGACGGGGGTGGGATTTCCAAGGATAGAACGTCGCCATGGTCACTCCCTTGTTTGCTTGAATTACCACTTACTGTTTTCACCTGCAAGGTAGACAGTTCGGATTTTTGTACTTGTACTCCACTAGGAGGATGGTATTCATTCAGAATCCCTGGTTGATTGTTCAAAAGATGAGGAGCCATAGAAATAGGGGTCTCTCCAACTACAGGGTTATGAACAGGATATTGACGACTAATTTCCGCAGATTGTGCCATTTGGTCACCATAAGTCAGCTGATCAGTTTCATAAGCATTTGAAGATGTCAGTAATACTTGATGTGACGACTGGGTAGCCAATGGAGTGTCAGATTTGGCAGTCAAAGGAGCATTCCTGACACCAATAGATGTTGGTAATGCTTGCTGTGAAGACTTGGTAGCCAATGGTGTGTCATATTTGTTAGTCAAAGGAGCATTCCTAACACGTATAGATGTTGGTAATCCTTGCTGGGAAGACTGGGTAGGTAATGGAGTGTCAGATTTGTTAGTCAAGGGAGCAGTCTTGGCACCTATAGATTCTACAGAAACATTACTAGTATCCCTTTCGATGGTTTTTCTGTTAAATGTATGTATGTCATTGTTTGAAGTGCTGACCCCAAGTGGGGTTGAGGTGTTTCTTGATCCCAAGTCCATACCATTAACAGCAACAACATACTGGACCTCAGAATCATCACCAATGCTACTAAGAGTGAACTGAGCATCTTCTAAATCAGTAATTGAGAACAAAAAAATCCTAAGCTTTTGTGGGGGTTCTCTATCTTCTATAAGGTTATACTCCTCCATCATATTCTGCAAATCCTCGTCAGACGATACAGATACCAAAGCATCAAGATCTTCCCCAGGAAGTTGATACTTGAGTACATGAAGCAGATTGTAGATTAACAATGTTCTCCGCCTAAGGTCGGGCCAAGATATGTCCTTTCTGAGACGAAGAATACGTGTCTGACCCCCCACATACCTTAGTTTTCCATCACTTGGTCTTGGTAATATTCTACCACCAAAACTACAAAGACACTTGATCATCCTTGATGAGGTATTCGAAGCGGCGTAAGAACCAAATTGAGCAGTCTCTTGATTCAAGAATGTTTTTGGTGCTGACCCACGTAACCATGTAGTTTGGCTGTTAAACTCTGCTGAACCATTCCCAAAGCCTGCATGAGTGATGCCTAGAATGCCATTAGTTGTAGAATTGGAATGAGGGAGATTTGTAAATGCAGGGCTCTTGAGATTTAGCCTGTCTCTCATAAATTCAAGAGCAAATTCCTCACCGGTCTGTATTGAATAATTGAGGACCGGTTTAACGTCTGATTGTGTTCTATTAGCATACATGGTATCGAGATAGCCCTGCATTACTGACTGAGATCCATGCTCATTTCTAGGTTCCATGCTATTGTAAGGAATCTGATTGAGAAATCTTGATTGTTCCATCATGCCATTTTTTTGTCTCTTTACAACAGAATAATACTAAATGAGTACTAAAAATAATCAACTTAGGGTTCTCTAACCTTGAATCATCGAAACATAATTAATAACATTTCAAGTTTGACGTAAAAGCATAAACCCTTAACAACATTTAGAATATGTAACGGAACAAGAAAATGAATCTTTGTACCTGATGGTAACACAATGGTTCAAGATAAGAAACAAAAGGAAACAGCGATTTCAGTGGAGAAACTAAATCACGCCTTTAGAATCTCTATTACTTTGCCCCGTCACGCTATCTTTCCCGGAAAATGACGCCACTTTCACTCTCTCTCTCTCTAAAAACTCCTCTGTTTCTTTCTGCGCCGCTTTTCCGGAACTGCCTTGTATTCTACTGATTCATTTTATAATATTTTCATTTAACCATGTTTGTATTATAGATGTCATTGCTAATTATTATTCTTCCTATCCCATATCATAAATCACTTTGTTAAAAAGTAATTATCTTAAATTATAAATTCTTTTTCATTTATAATGTAATATTAATAATATTTTTAATATACTTTTGAATATTTATTATTATTTATTTTTATAACTCTTTTAATTTCTTTCTTTTATGTAATTATGAAGAGTATTATTTTAAAGTTATATATAATTTATTTATTTTTAAAGTAATAATCAAATTTTTTAATTCGTGTGAAATGTCAAAAATATAATTTTTTTTTAAACTAACAATGTAATAATTTTTATTTACCAAATAAATCATAGTTTCAAAAATATTACCAAAATGGCAATGTTTGAAAATCAATCAACGTGCATTCGCCAATTGGTTTGGCGAATTAGGCCAACCAATCTACAAGGGATTCGCCAATTGGTTTGGCGAATGGGTTTGTTTGTGGGGTTTCGCCCATGCAATTGACGAATTGGTTTGTGTTTTAGGGTTTTCGTTTTCATATTTACAGTTTTAAAATTTAATTGTTTTTTGATTTTAATTATTATTATTATTAACCATAAAATATATAAATTTATAATCTAATTAATATTAATATAATTAATATTAATTTATAATATAATTTATAATGTCATTAAAAATACACGAACAAAAATATAAATATAATGAAAATTTCAAAAAAAAAACTAATTAATATTAATTTATAATATAATTTATATTTTGATTTTGATTTTAATTATTTTTATATTATTAATAAACTTAAAAAAATTAAGTTTAAAAGGTTAAATTATTTTATGAAATTATAAATTTAAAATAAATTGGTTTGCTTGCTAAATTGCCCAGCTTGGGTTTTAAACTTTCCTTATATATTTTTGGGGTGACATTCATCAATGAATGTATAGCCACCCTAGTGGTAATCACTTTGTCATCAAATGCGCATTTCACCTTGCTACCTTGGGTTTGATCCCTGAGGAGGATCAATCCTTTTGTATAATATGTTTTTGCTTTTTTTTGCATTTTATTTTCACTTGTTGTGATGTATTTGCGCACTAAGTTATCATTTTTTAATTATCATTTTTTTTCCTATAAATACGAGCTCAAACACATGTTTGTTTTCACAATATTATTTCCTAAAAGACTAAAGTGGTAGTGCGGTTTGAGTTGAGTGGAGTCCATAATGTCTGCATTTCTAAATCAACGTTCTTCTTCTTCGCCATCAGCATCAGAGGAACCTTTTCCAACGTTTGATATAATGAAAAGAAATGCCCTTGTGGTGTTTTCAGCAACAAAGCCTCCGATGAAGGTGCTCCTGTGGAATACGCAGACGTTGGAGCACTTGCACAGGGAACTGAACCGCTGGCTAGAAGGGGATATTGTTCCAGGAGAAAAGATTAGGAAAATTGAGAGGTTGGTGGAGAAGACCGATAGAAACGGAGTTACTCGTGAATGGAGAAAAGTGGAAAATGATGTCGGCGTCCTTGTGATGATATTGACACCAAAGGAGATAAAGTTGATGGTCGTGATATCGTAGACAAATGAAAGTTAACTCTGCTTATAATAGAAGGAAATTTATGAAAGTTAACTCTGCTTGTAATAGAAGGAAATTTGTAGTTACCTCTGCTTGTAATAGCATGAAATTTGATTTTAATCAAATGAAAGTTACTATTGAATTAAATGGACACGTTTACAAATGAAACTATGATCTGCTGCTCGGTCCTACGTTTGGACATGTCGTACGATTGTGTCTTGGTTGCCGACACGAACTACACAATCTCACTAGCTTATCCGAGGTATCAATCTCTGTTCGTATGCGCGTGCTGTTAGGCCGACCCTTCTTTTTTCTGCGCATCAAGTCATTATGCCAAACAATTTAGCCTTCGTATTCCGGCCAATAGTCTTCCTTTGCCAACACTTGAAAACTGCATGAGTAGACATTGCATAGACTTATGACTTGGTGAACCGCAGAAAGAAGGTTGGTTGGGTCCTAGCGCGCCTTCGAACAAGCTGCTATGACATGAGAGCAAGGCATACGGAATGCTTGAAACTTTCCACAATCACACCAGCTCTTATCTAATTCAACATGATAACATCCCCTGGGCCTTCCTTCATTGTGATCTATAGCCTCGGCAACACTGAACCAACCAGCTATACGGTCAAATATTGTGACCACGTGGGTGTTGGCTTTGGCAGCTTCGTCTTTCATGAATTTCATTGCAGTGTCGCTGTACAGCTGACCCGATTGTAATACCGAACCCCACTTCGCACGTCTGCTATCAAAAAGTGATCCCATCCTAAAATAGGTTGCCTTTACCAAAGCAGTTATTGGGAGGTTTCGAATTCCCTTGAAAACAGAATTCATTGACTCGACGAGGTTGGTTGTCATGTGGCCCCATCGCACCCCATTGTCGTATGCCCGCGTCCATTTCTCCCTATCAATGCCGTCAATCCATCTTAATGCATCCGCGTTGTTCAGTCTAATCTCGTCACGGTAGTATCTGAATGTTGGTTCAGTTAGTGCATACCCCGCGTTCACAACCTTCTTCCGCAGCGTCCTGTCTTTGATCTCCCTCATGAAATTTTGGGCAATATGCCTTATGCAATAGACGTGGGTCGATGGAGGATCCTGCCAACCGTTGTCATGGTTGTTGTAAGCACTCTCAATGGATGGGTGTCGATCGGAGATCAAACATAAGTTAGGTTGGGGAGACACATATGGCCGTAGGTTTTTTAAGAAAAAACTCCAACCCCCAACAGTCTCCCCTTCAACTATGGCGAAGGCTATCGGGAAAATGTTGTTGTTCCCGTCTTGTGCCACAGCCATCAGAAGTGTGCCCTTATATTTCCCGTAAAGCCAAGTTCTGTCTTGTGCCACATGCCAACATATACCCCCTATCAACAACAACCACCTTACATGCCACCAATCCAATCCCAACCTCAACCATCTAACCAGTACAGTCCTGATATGTCTTTTGATCCTACCCCTGCCACCTATATCTCGAACAACTCATTCGACCCTACCCCCTCTAACTACACCTCCAACCACCCATTATTTAACTACCACACCCCACAACAACCAACACACCTAGACCAACCCAACTCCATGTACACTTTCAGACAACCATACCGTCCATACTCCACCCACCCTCCCCGACAATCGTACGAAAACATGGGCATTGGCCTTGACTACGGAAGTGCATGTGAAATGGGACCTCCCGGCTATTAGGGTCAAATGATGCAAGATCTAGCTGATACGCCGGGGCCGTCCCAACAGAACCCTCCACCACAACTGAACACACAACATCCTGACACACCACAACAACCTCGTCGAAGACCTCGTCGCAACACGCGTCCCCCCCAATGTGGCACCGGTGGTCACTTGGATAGAGCCGATCATTAGGTTTTTTTTTTTGTAATTTTCATTATATTTATATTTTTGTTCGTGTATTTTTAATTACATTATAAATTAATATAATTTCATTTTATTATCACTTTATGCTTACAAATATATTTCAATTATATTAATATTAATTATATTATAAATTAATATATTTTATGGTTAATAATAATAATAATTAAAATCAAAAAACAATTACATTTTAAAACTTTAAATATGATAATTAAAACTATAAAACTTTAATATGATTTTCTCTAAAAATATGATAATTTTAAAACTTTAAAACTTTAAAATATATTATATGGTAATTAAAAGAAAACTGAAAAACGAAACAAACCCTAAAAACTAAACCTAATTCGCCAATTGCATGGGCGAATGCCCACAAAAACAACACTGTCGCCAATCCATTTGGCGAATTGGTTCAAACCCAATTTGGCATATTTCGCCAATTCGTCTGGCGAATGCATGTTGATGCAATTTCAAACCTTGCCATTTTGGTAATATTTTTGAAACTATGATTTATTTGGTAAATAAAAATTATTACATTGCTAGTTTAAAAAAAATTCTCAAAAATATCATATAACTTAGAACGGAGGTATTGATTAAAAAATTAATTAAAATAGTTTTTTTCAAATAAGAATAAAATTTATTAAAATATTTTATTAAAATGAGAATATTTTAACTTACCTTATATGTTCCTATTATACTATGCAAAATTTCACAAATACCCTTTGTTTTCGGAAATGCATCTTTGAACGCGCTAAAAAATTCGTTAAAATATTTCAGAGATGCATCTTTGAACACGCCAAAAAATTCGTTAAAATATTTCAGAGATGTATCTTTGAAACATTTTGGAGGTTAAGTCGTATTAGACTCTTCTCCTTCTTCATTTTCCATTTTACTTAAACGCAACTTAACATTTCTCAAATTTCTTCTATGTACCAAGTCAAAATTGATTCAACAAAACTCAAGGGAACATCAATCTTCATTTGTAACATAATTCAACTTCATCAAAAACAACAATTTCTTGTAATTGTTTCAAGTTTTTAATAAATTTTTGAGTTTTGGTGTAAATGAGTATAAATCAATGATTAGGGTTAGAAATAAGTAGAAATTGCATTTAAGATAGTTTAGCAATAGTGTATTAGTTGTTTGTTGGCTAAA